GATGCTGGAGTTTAAAGTCAGGGCCTCACACTTGTTAGGCAGACAGATATTTTGCTACTTGGACCATACCTCAATTCTTTTTGCTTTTGGGTTTTTTTTTTTTCCCAATAGGGCCTTACGTTTATTCTACACTCAGCTTGGAATGGGAATCCTCCCATTTATACTTTCTGTGTAGCTAGGATGACAGATTCATGCCCAGCTATTGGTTGAGATGGAGTCTCTCAAGTTTTTTGTGTTTGGTAGCAGGCCTTGAATTCAGGGCCTGGGTGATATCCCTGAGCTATTTTTGCTCAAGGCTAAATGCTCTACCTCTTTGAGCCACAATGACACTTCCAGTTTCCTGGTGGTTAATTGGAGATATGCCTGGGCTGGGCTGGCTTTGAACCATGATCCTTCAGAGTAGCCAGGATTACTGGCATGAGCCTGTAATCTGGTCCCAGGACTTGAACTTTGGGCCTGGGAGCTGTCCCTTAGCTTCTTTTGCTCAACATTAGTGCTCTACCACTTAAGCCACAGCACCACTTCTGGTAGTTCTGAGTAGTTTATTGGAGATAAGTGTCTTATGAAGTTTCCTGCCCTGGCTGGCTTCGAACCACAATCCTCAGATCCCAGTCTACTGAATAGCTAGGATCATAGGTGTGCGCCACCAGCACCCGGTTCAATTTGGTTCAATTTTTTTTTTTTTTGGTCAGTCATGGGGCCTGAACTCTGGGCCTGGGCGCCGTCCCTCAGCTCTTCCGCTCAAGCCGAGTGCTCTACCACTTGAGCTGCAGTGCCACTTCCGGTTTTCTGATAGTTTTTTGGAGATAAGAGTCTCACAGACTTTACTGCCTGGGCTGGTTTTGAACCTTGATCTACAGATCTCAGCCTCCTGAAATGCTAGGATTACAGGCATAAGTCACCAGTGCCTGGCCAAAAAATATTTTTTTTTATTTGTATCCTGGTTACTGGGACTTGAACTTGGGGCATGAGTGCAGTCCCTGAGCTTTTGTGCTCAAGGCTAGCATTCTACCACTTGAGCCACAGAGCCACTTCCAACTTTTCTGAGTAGTTTATTGAAGATAAGAGTCTCATGGGGCTGGGAATAAGACTGAGTGGTAGAGTGCTTGCCTAGCATGCATAAAGCCCTGACTTCAATTCCTCAGTACCACATAAACAGAAAAAGCTGGAATGGTGCTATGGCTAAAGTGGTAGAGTGTTAGCCTTGAGCAAAAGAAGCTCAGGAACAGTGCCCAGGCTTTGAGTTCAGGCCTCAGGTTGATGCACACATGTAAACGCAAAGAATTATAGGTATGAGCCACTGTGTCCTGCTTACTTTATTCATTTTTCTCCAGCTGATATCTGACTATAATCCTCTTACCTATGCTTTCCAAGTAGCTAAAATATTGGTTGAGATGGGTGGGGTCTTGAGAACTTTTTGCTCCATTTTTATCTCCATTTTTCTAATGGCTGCCTTTCAAGTAGGTGGGAATAGAGGTATGAGCTACTATACCTGGTCGGTTGGTTGTTAAGACTGGATCTGAATGTACTTGAACTCAAGATCCTCCAGCCTCAACCTCCTGCGCTCTGGGATTATAGATATGTGCCATCATAATCAACTTTTGCTTTTTGTTTTGTTTTGTTGCCAGTCCTGAGGCTTGAACTCAAAGCTTGGGGGCTATCCCTGAGCTCCTTTTTTTTTTTTTTTGCCGGTTGTGGGGCCTGAACTTTTTGGGCCTGGGTGCTGTCCCTCAGCTCTTCAGCTCAAGGCTAGCGCTCTACCACTCGAGCCACAGCGCCACTTCTGGCTTTTTCTACTTATGTGGTACTGAGGAATCGGACCCAGGTCTTAATACATGCTAGGCCAAGCACTCTACCACTAAGCCACATTCCCAGCCCCATGATCAACTTTTGCTAATCCTTATTTACTTATTTTTTTTGGTTGGCCATGGGGCTTAAACTCTGGGCTTGGGCACTGTCCCTGCGCTCTTCAGCTCAAGGTGAGCGCTCTACCACTTGAGCTACAGTGCCACTTCCAGTTTTCTAGTGATTTATTGGAGATTAGAGTCTCACGGACTTTCCTGCCCTGGCTGGCTTTGAACCTTGATCCTCAGATCTCAGCCTCCTGAGTAGCTAGGATTACAGGCGTGAGCCACCTGCGCCTGGCTTTGCTAATCTTTATTAACTGCATCACAGGCATGAGCTTGGCAGGGTAACCTGTGGAGGTCAGTATTCTTCCTAAATGAAGGTGTATATCTTTGCAGCTGAGATAACTGGCCAGAGCTATACACTTTCTAGGCCCATCACTTGTCCAAGGCTTCATGACCTTGGGTGATCTGCACATCTGAGTCTTCATTTCATGGTCCAGAAATGTGAGAAGTCTAATAGCTACCTCATAGGATTGTGGTAGTAAGTACTTACCATGTGCCAAGTGCTGGGGTCATACCAGTAAACAAAAATCGCTCCTGCGGTGATTGGTGGAGGAAGGTAGACACTAATATACTATAGGTAGTGAATATAACAGATGTTGGTGAAGATGAATGAGGCATTCTGGGTGGCCAGAGTGTCAGAATGAGGAGGGACTATTTCCACTTGATGGTGGTCAGGAAAGGCCTCTCTGATGACTTCTAAGGCTGGGCACTGTATGGACACTTGTAATCCCATCACTCAGGAGGCTGAGATGGGAGGGTGATGAATTTTAGGCCAGTTTAGACCACAACATTGAACCTAGTCTCAAAAAACAAAAGAAGGGGAGGGACTTAAATACCTGAATGAATGAGGAGATGACGTCAGAGAGGTGGCTAAGGCAAGATTAAGTAGAATCTGGTAGCCTACCGTAAGGGTTACCTTTTTTCCTTTCTTTTCTCTTTTTTTTTCTCCTTTTTTCCTTTTTTGTCAGTTGTGGGGCTTGAACTTAGGGCCTGGGCATTGTCCCTGAGCCTCTTTGTGTTCAAGGGTAGCACTCTACTACTTGAGCCACAGTGCCACTTCTGGTTTTTGAGTGGTTAATTGGAGATAAGAGTCTCATGAGGACCTTTCTGCCTGGGCTCGCTTTGAACTCCGATCCTTAGATCTCAGCCTCCAGAGTACCTAGGATTATATGCATAAGCCATGGGCATCCAGAAGGACTTGGTTTTACCCTGAGTGAGATGGGAGCACTGCGGGCTGTGAGCTGAGGAAGTGATCTGAGTTAAAGGATCTCTGGGGGCTGGGAAGGCAGCTCAGTAGTGATTCCTCAGCACCACATAATCAGAAAAAGCTAGTGGTAGAGCGCTAGCCTTGAGCTGAAGAGCTGAGGGACAGTGCCCAGGCCCAGAGTTCAGGCCCCATGGCCGACCAAAAATTAATTAATTAATTAAAAATAAATAAATATAAAGGATCTCTGTCTGCTATACAGAGAGTAGACTCTAGGGGGCTCAGGAATCAAGAAGACCAGTTAGGAGGTTGCTAGGTTGCCAGCTGGGAGATGAGAGGCTTTTTCTCTAAATCAGTACCAGAGAGTAATAAGTGGCCAGATTCTGCACATAGCTGAAGAGCTGGAAGGATTTGTTAATGGACTGGATAAAAAGTGTGTGTCTGTGTGGTCAGAGGGAGAAGGGTTAAGAATTTCAGAGGGGGGCTGGGAAGGTAGCTCAGTGGTAGAGTGCTTGCCTTGCAAACATGAGGCCCTGGGTGCCATTCCTCAGCACCACATAAGCAGAAAACGCCAGAAGTGGTGCTGTGGCTCAAGTGGTAGAGCGCTAGCCCTGAGCTGAAGAGCTGAGGGACAGTGCCCAGGCCCAGAGTTCAGGCCCCATGACCAGCCAAAAAAAAAAAAAAAAATTCCAGAGGGACTTTTGTGTGTATGCTGGACCTGGGCCTTGAATTCAGAGCCTAGACACTGTCCTTGAGCTTCTTTTACTCAAGGTTAGTGCTCTACCACTTGAGCTACAGCTCCACTTTCAGTCTTTCTGGTGATTAAATAGAGATGAAAGTCTCACAGACTTTCCTGCCTGCCTGGGATGGGTCCAAAATGAGATCCTCAGATCTCAGCCTCCTGAGTAGCTAGGATTACAGGCATTAGCCATGGGCACGGGGTTGAAATGGTCTTCTCTGACAATGTCTACTCCTTCGCTCACATCAAATACTCTGGAATTGAGCCTACCCATCCATTCATCCAAGCTCACACCCATCTATCATCCATCCATCCATCCATCATCCACCCACCTATCCATCCATCCAACCACGTACCCACCTACCCACCTATCCATACACCCATCATCCATCCACGATTCAGCCAGCCACCCACCCACCCACTTATCCAATTTATTAAGCATCTGCTACATGCCAGGCACAATTTCAGACCACTATTCCCGATGACGGTGAGCATGCGGCAGTGGCCAACTTAGCATCACAGTGTTTATATTTCTAAGGGGAGAGTAAGACAAAATACAGAAATCGTTATTCAACAGCGATGGTGGTAGGTGCCAGGGAGAGGTGAAGAGAGGAATGACACATTTTTGATGAGGTGTTTGGTGCTTCGAATACCCATATTCTGTCCACAGACTGCAGCGCGGGGAGCCCAGCACACTCCTCTGCGTTTACCAGCGTCCAGGTGAGGACCGGCCACGCGCACGCGCACAACGGGGAGGCCCCAAGGAAGGTGCGGAGCGCAGGCTCGCTCGAGCTGATCCTGAGGCTTGAACTCGGCCTGGGCGCTGTGCCTGAGCTGCTCTGGTTCAAGGCGAGCGCTCTTCCACTTGAGCCACAGCGCCACTGTTTTGGATAGTTTATTGGAAATAAGTGTCACAGATTTTCCTGTCCGGAATGGCTTCGAGCCGTGCTCCTCCGATCTCAGCCTCCGGAGGAGCGAGGGTTACAGGCGTGAGCCGCCTGCGCCCAACTCGGCCTCCGAGGCGTTTGAGAACTCAGCGGGGCTGAGGCTGCGCCGGCAGCTAGGTCCGTTACGGTGACTGAAAAGCAGTCACCCAATAGGAACCTCTTCCTTAGGCTGTGGTCCCGCCCCCCAAAGCCCCTTTCCTCCTTCCGCTTCCGGCGCGTCGGCGGTCGAGAACCAACATGGTGGCGGCTGCGGTGCTGGTGTCCCGAGCTTCTCGGCTGCTTGGCCGGTCCCACGTCGGGCGGCCCCTGTCGAGCGGCGCGCACGGCGAGGAGGGCTCAGGTATTGGGGCTGGGTGGGCGGGGCGAGCCGCGGCGGCGCCGGGGTGAGCGGCGGGCCGGGTGACCTTGGCTCGAGGCCTTCGGGGCGCCCGCGCCCGCGCCCAGCGGCTGTCGTTGTCCTCAGCTCGCATGTGGAAGGCCCTCACCTACTTCGTCGCGCTGCCCGGGGTGGGAGTGAGCATGCTCAATGTCTTCCTGAGATCTCGCCACGAAGAGCACGACAGGCAGGAGTTCGTCGCCTACCCCCATCTCCGCATCAGGACCAAGGTACGGCTCGAGCATCCCGAGCGTGGATGGCCGGCCCGGGCCATTTCTGCGTTTGCCCCGGCGAGCAGTGGAACCGGTATTGGTTACCATGTTTGTGGAAGGGGGGAAACTGAGACGAAGGGGGGAGTCATGTCTCAGTTCTTTTCAAGGTCATAACACCCAGCGCCCTTCAGTTTCTCATCCCCACCTCTTGCTTTCTGATACAGTTCAGAAACAGTTGTCTCTTGCATAAAATTTAGGGCCTTGCCACCCCCCCTCCCCCTTTAGAGTGGCAAAGTCTGAAGGTGATTTACCTTTCGGGCTGGTTCTAACTCCTCGATGAAGCTGGCTTCCTTTCTTCCCTACCAATGCCAACCAAAGCTGGGCCAAAAGCAGTCTTAAACACTTTTCGGTCCAGGTTGGCTTCAAACAGTGATGTTGCAGGTTTGAGCCTCTAGCTAATCTGGCTCCAATTTTATGTTAATAAACTTAATGCTGCCCCACTCCACCCCTGTGATGCTAAGGATTAGACCAAGGGCATTTTAATATGCCAAGCAAGCCCTCTATCACAGAGTTAGTTTCATCTCCCCTCCATCCCCCATTCCTTCTTCTTGCTCTTTAGTTATGGTATCACCTAGCTCGTGTAATGACTGGCCTTACAGGAACTTAACCTAGCTTTCAATTTTGGCATCTTTGAGCTCCCTTCTACCCTGGCACAGAAGAATTAGCAATCAAACAGCGAAGTGTTTCAGCCTCAGCACTGTTGTGCAATTTCTAGTTTATTTGCTCCCATTTTCTGGAAGGAAAACTGAGTTTTGGAGTGGGTAATTCTTAGGGAGGCAGGACGTAGTGTTGTCCCATCCATTTGGAAGGATTAGTAGCATCTTTAGGTTCTACCCACTAGATGGCAGTACTACCCACCCCAACTGTCTCCAGACACTACTTCATGTTATGTGGGAGGATAAATACTGTTCTTATGGAAGAAGTTGCCCTAGCTCAAGTTTGAAGGGAGCTCAGAAACCTGTTTGAATTAAGTATCTCCTCCCCTATGCCTACCACTATCATTTAAACAAATGATTTGAAGGTTTTACCTCTAAAACCCAGCACAGGATATATTAGTTAAGGACTAATTTCCATCTTGTTTTTGTTATCTATGACTCTATTGTAAGCAGTTCATACCAGCGTTTTTTGTTGTTGTTGTTTTCCTGAACTCTTTCTGGAATTACCTAATTGACATCTTCACTCCACAGCCCTTTCCCTGGGGAGATGGCAACCATACTCTATTCCATAACCCTCATACAAATCCTCTTCCCACTGGCTATGAAGATGAGTAAAGAGAACCTGGACCATCACCTAGGCACCTGGGACCACAGCTTTGGTTTGGCCCATTCCTCTGCACGTGGACCAGAGAAGTACATGGGACCTTAAGCTCACCCTCCTTCTTGTATCAAATGACAATTAAACCATTTTTCCATCACTTTGCTTATAGCAGGAGATGGCTTAAATAAATAGTTTAAACTTAGGTTGGTTTTGAGCTGAAAGTTGATTCTTTGTGTTTTTCTTGAGAAATTAACATTAATGGTATTCCTGTTTCTTCAGTGAAGGTCTACGCTGCTGTGTCGATATTTCAGGTCCAGTATGGCCCACAGATTACTGTTCATAACAGGCTCCGGCTTTCTTGACTTGGGCTATCTGAGACTAAGGGAGTAAGGTCAGGGCCTGTAACAGTGGAGTTACTTGTGAAGGTGAGGTATCTGACCAACTGGATGGCAAGTCCCCAAATGATGAACAAAATGGCCATAGTTTATACCTGTGAGTCTCTGTACAAGTGCTTTGCCTAAGTCTCAGCTTTTTCCTGCCCCAAGTCCACCAGCATTGGTGAGGAATCCTCCTGGAGTGAGATAAACAAGTTCTTAGCCATGGGGTAAAATTTATCTCTCAGTCACCTAATGGTTGACACAGACTAAGAAACTTTTGGAGAAATGAAGGCAGTGAGACACATTTTTGCTTTTAACATGGGCTTTTGTTTCTTAAATTAAAACTCCTGTAGACTTAGAAATTAGAAAAAAAAAACATTAAAACTGAAATGACCATAATGCATCAAAATAGAAAACTTTAAAACAAGTGAAGCAATTAAGAGTCCTTTTCTGCAGGATGAAGTCAAAATACAATGACAACAATCAATTTCTCAGAAGCAAATTGAAAATACTCCTTTTGAGAGAATTGTGGCCATGAAAGAAGATACTAGTAGCTAGTCTTTTGAGACTTAACAGTAGTGTGTAATTGTTTGAGCTTTGGAGTTACAGTTAAGGGTTTTTTGTTTTTGGTGGTACCGAAGCTGAACTCAAGGCCTCATGCTTTTACAAGGCAGGTGTCCCCCCCCCCCCCTTTTTTTTTTTTGCTTTATTTTTCAAATAGGATCTTGTGTTTTTGCCTAGGCTGACTTAGACCATGACCCTCCAATTTATGCCTCCATTGTTACAATGAAGTTTCTTGTGTGCCAGTCCTAGGGCTTGAACTCAGAGCCTGGGTGCCGTCCCTGGTCATTTTTGCTCAAGGATAGAGCTCTTAACACTTGAGCTACAGCTCCACTTTCAGCTTTTTGGATTGGATATGAGTCTCATGGACTTTTCTGCTCTGGATGGCAATTCTCAGATCTCAGGCTACTGAGTAGCTAGGATTACAGGTATAAGCCACCAGCACCTGGCTTAAAATGACAGATTTGTGTCACCATGTTCAACTTTCCAACTTCTTGAGGTGGGGGTCTCACTAACGTTTTGCTTTGGCTGGCCTGGAATCTGAGTCTTCCTGATTGCCTTCTAAATAGCTGGGACTAAAAAGTGTGAGCCTTGCTGGGAATGTGGCTTAGTGTTACAATACTTGCCTAGCTAGCATTCATGAAACCCTGGCTTTGATTCCTCAGTACCACATAAAAAGAAAAAGCCAGAAATGGTTGTGGCTCAAGTGGTAAAGTGCCCTAATCACCTTGACCACCTTATCATGAAGTTCCATAATTCAATTCTAACCTTGAACAAAGGAGCTCAGGGACAGTGCATAGGCCCTGAGTTCAAGTCCCTGGGCTGGCAAGAAATAAGCACTAAATAAAAGTTTGAGCCACTGTTTTGGGGTCTGGGTGCTGTGTCTTAACTTTTTTGCTCAAATCTGGTGCTCTACCACTTGAACCACAGCTCCACATCTAGGTTTTGTTGGTTAAGTTGGAGTCTCACAGACTTCTGCTGGGGCTAGCTTTGAACCATGACCCTTAGATCTCAACATCCTCTACATCCTCAGATTATGGGAATGAGCCACCAGTGCCAGAGTTTCTCATTTTTGAGACAAGACATAGCTATGTTGTTCAAGTTACTGTTTTTTTGTTTTGTTTTTTGGGGTCCGGTTGTGGGGCCTGAACTCTGGGCCTGGGCGCTGTCCCTCAGCTCTTCAGCTGAAGGCTAGCGCTCTACCACTTGAGCCACAGTACCACTTCCGGTTTTTTTGCGTCCGGTCGTGGGGCCTGAACTCTGGGTCTGGGCGCTGTCCTTCAGCTCAAGGCCAGCGCTCTACCACTTGAGCCACAGCGCCACTTCCAGCTTTTTCTGCTTATGTGGTGCTGAGGAATTGAACCCAGGGCCTCATGCATGCAAGGCAAGTGCTCTACCACTGAGCCACCTTCCCAGGCCCCAGCTTTTTTTTTTTTTTTTGCTTATGTGGTGCTGAGGAATGGAACCCAGGGCCTCATGCATGCAAGGCAAGCGCTCTACCACTGAGCCACCTTCCCAGCCCCTCAAGTTACTGCTTTTTAAAACAAGGCCCAAGAAATTCTCAGCGTTAGCTTCCTGAATAGCTGGGACTGCAGCCATCTGTGTACTCCTAAGTACTGCTACTTCAAAGAGCTATTAATGGGTACTGTGTCTTCACCCTCTCTGTTGAAAATTGAAAGGTTAGCCAGGTGCTGGTGGCTCATACCTGTAACTAGCTACTCGGGAGGCTGATACATGAGAATTGAGGTTCAAAGGCAGCACAGGTAGTAGAAAAGTCTGAAGACCCTGTCTCCAATGAACAAATCGCAAACAATTTTTGCTAACAATTAGTAAAAAGCTGGAAGTGGAGGTATAGCTCAAATGGTAAAGTACCAGCCTTGGGCAAAATAAAACAAAGTGAGAATGCAAAGCCCTGAGTTCAAGTCCAGTACCAGCACACAAGCAAAAAAACTGTACTAAGTATATTTCCTACAACTTTTCCCAAAAGTTTTGTTGAGTGGTGAACTTCTATAGTAGCATATACTGTTTTTGTATCAGGCACACCTAGTATGAGTTATAATGAAAGAACATGGTTGGCTTATAGTTTATTGTCAGAGCTTAATGAGACAGTCTGTAGTAAGGTTTAAGAGAATACAAGTATTTCTTAGTACATCCTTAAGATAGGCAGTTTGTAGATATTACATGACATTCTAAAGTATGTAAATGCTCACTTGATTCTAACATTGTTTTGGTACCAGAACATAAATTTTAGAGAATTCATATAGACTTATTATGGAAAACAAAAACATTTTAGAAATGTTTTTTTGCTTTTTCAGTACTGAAGATTGAACCAAAAGCCTTGAGCTTGCTAGGCAAATTCTCTTACTATTTGTGTCCCCCAATCCTTGTTTTCTGAGATAGGTCTAGCTAACTTTGCCAAGGTTGGCCTTAAATTCTTGATCTTGCCTCTCTCCTGAGTACATGGGATCACAGGTGTATGTTACCACCAGGTTTCTAACTACTACTCTGTACTACACTTAGATAAATCTTCACCTTTTAAGTTATAAAAGATAAAGCTCTCTGCAGTGTATGTGTGAGACATGGGGTAACAAGGTACTAGATGTACCATAAAGTGCACTGGGTTACAGGGGCAAATGATAAAAACTAAATGTTAGAATTTATTTCATCTTGATGAGTATAGACATAGGGTAGGCTAGACAAACAAAAATAAACCAAAGCACCCATCTCTCACATTTAAGCAGATGCGTTTTTCCTGTTTATAATGCAGTTTGACTTAATTCAGATGGAAGCCATTAGCAGCGAATCTTTGTAATTTAGGTTCTTCTGTAGCCATTCCATGTATTATATTCAATTATTTGCTGTGAACTGAGACAGTATTCATTTCAGTGGTCTTGCAGCATTCACATCTTAAATCAGACAGCTCTTGCTAAGCTGTTAAAAGCTGTCTTCCTCTTTGTTAACCCAAGCCATCAGCAATCTTAAATGTCATATAGAAGTAAATCCAAGTATTGATCAAAACTTGCTTGGATCCCTTTTTAGAGCATTAGCTCCCTGAGGAAACAAAAAGGTCCTGACTACTTTCATGAACAAGGACCCCCATACTGTGTATGTAATGTCCTTTGCAGCAGAAATCAAAAGGTCAAGGAGCCCCGATCACCTTGACTAGCTTATCATGATTTACGCAGAAGGTATATTTGAAGTTGATTCCAGACCATATATTGCAACCATATCCCAAGAAATTGTTCACTTTAGCACAGTGAATTCCTGTGAGATGCCAAAGCAAGTGAGAAATCATCTCAAAGCAGCATCTTTACACATGGGAGGAAGAGGCAACTTCCTCCCAAACTCATTAAATAGTAATGACTTCATAGCCTTAAGCTGACAAATTCCAAAGTCCTCTCAATTTCCTGATATGAGGAATCCATTTTCAAGGTGACAAGCAAGGTCAAGAAGAATTTTCAGGCTTTTCTTTGCCATGGCCCATGAACTCCAATCCTTCAATAGGAATCTCTTTCTCCTTTATTGCTTTCTGATGAGAGAAGAAACATTTTTATTAAAGTCTATAAGAAGCTTGAGGTCCAAACTTTCTAAATGAAATGTAATTACACAGAAGTAAATCAGATGGCAACAGACACTTTTCAGGAGCAAACTGAGTGTTGGACTGGAAATCGAAAAAGGGTTTCTACATTCTCACTCATCCCTCCCAACCCAACCTCCCCTTTTTCTTTTGTTAATTTTGTAGGCTACACATTAAATTCTTGACCATCCTTATTGATAAAAAATAAAAATTAAAGGGGTTTCTATAAGTCCCCCAATCCCCCATTAAATTCAGGGCCGGGCATTGGTGGCTCATGCCTGTACAATACTAGCTACTCAGGAGGCTAAGATCTGAGAATGCGGTTCAAAGCCAACTTGGGAGGAAGTGAAAACTTACCTCCTTTTAACCACTAGAAAACGAAGTGGCTCTCTAGCTCAAAATGGCATGGCGTATCCTTGAGCAGGGACAGCGTCCAGGCTCTGAGTTCATGCCCCAAACGAACAAAACAAAACCACCACCACCCACCGAATCCACAGTAATAATGACAAGTAAAATCAACCGCACCCGATTCTAGTGAACTTGAAGAAATCACTTCCTATCTTTAGGTGTTAGTTTTGCAAGTAAAAAATCCAGTTACGATGGCTATTTTGCATAGTACCAAATAAATGAGCCAAAGGTTGTTCCTGTGCCCCAAACAAGCTAAGGTCCTCCAGACACCGGTGGCTCTCCGCCTCACTACTCAGAAAACAAGCCGCGCGGTTCCTACCTCCATCTAACCAGCAAAAAGCCGGAAGTGGAGGCGCTAGGCGCGCGCGAAGAAGCGAGAGCCGCACAAGGCACACAAGCGCGCACGGGCGGTCAAGTTGGACAAACAGAAAACCAGGCCGGGCCGGAAAGCCTCGCGGGTGATGGCAAGGGGGAAAGGGCCTCGGCCTCGCCGCGGCGGCTCCGGCCTCCGTCCGTCGGACTCTGGCGTGGGTGGGGCCTTGGGGAGGACGGGAAGGCTCGCGGCGCCGCTCACCTGAACACACTGCTGGTAACGCTTGAAGAGATCGGTGCACGGGTCCCCGGAGCCGTCCCCCTTGAGGAACTTCTCGGCAAACCAGCGGTTGAAGCACTGGTCGTATTCGCGCTTCATGTCGGTGCAAGCCTCCCCGACGCTGTTCATGGCGATGGCGGCGGCGGCGGCGGCGGCGGCGGCGGCGCGTTCTGATGACATCACTCGGGCGCGCGTGTCCCGGCGTGACGCCAGGACGTACTACGGCGGCTGGAAAGAAATGTGGGCGCTAGGTATGTGGCGGGGCCTTCGTGCGATCCCGAGCGGGCGGCGGCTCGTCACCTCGCGGGAGGCTCCTCAGGTAAGGGCGGAGGCGTGCAGCTGGGCGGCGTCCCGGCCGGGAGGCCGAGCCGGCGCCGCCCGGGACCCACGCCGCCCGCCTTCTCCGCAGGGGGGTCGGGTCACAGCCGAGGTGATCGAGCACCTGGAACGACTGGCGCTGGTGGACTTCGGCAGCCGCGAGGCCGTGGAGCGGCTGGAGAAAGCCATCGCCTTCGCTGACCGGCTTCGCGGGGTCGACACCGACGGGGTGGAGCCCATGGAGTCGGTACTGGAGGACAGGTAAACTCGGGCGGCGGACCCCGAAAGCTTCACCGCGGTGCTTTTGCAGACGTTTGAGGTGACCTATTACCAAGTGTCCTATTACACAAGAGGTAAAAGCTTCATTTAGCAAGATCGCGAGTTTGCCCTGTCACCACGCCTGTCTTCGCTCTTCCCGTTGTTCATTAGGGGTCCTGCCACTCCCTCTTTAAAATCCGCGAATTTCTCGGTGTAAGTAGGAAGAAATCCCAACTGCTTGTTAAGTCACCGCTTTCGGAACCCTACTTCACACACGGTGAGATGGCTCCCGCTTGTAATCCCAGCTACTCAAGAAATGAAGGCCAGAGAAGCGCAGTTAGAGGTCAACTGGGGCGAAGTTAGTAAACTCCACCCCCAAAACAAAAAGGCTAGGGCCTTGGTTAAAATGGTCGAGCATCTTCCTAGCAGGCGAGGATGTGTTCAATTCCCAATACCACAAGCCAGGTTTGTTCGCTCTCTCGTTTTCATTTTCTGTAGGGCTATGCACTTGCTAGTAGGCAAGCCCTCTTCCACTGAGCTAAATCCCCATCTCGTTCCCTCTTTAGGATCTCTGCACTTGCCAGATATTTATGTTTTGTCCCTTGGATAGAATACCTCCACCTCCAAGTTGTTGCCTGGTATTCTCCCTCTTGGCACTTGAATTTCTTTAGAGTGGATTCTACTGACACCTCAAACTCCCTCTGCCTTTCCAGTCACTATCCATTTAGTTTTTCTGATATTTGTATTTTATGTCTTGTTTACAGTGTAAGCACACTTTATTACCTGCTTCAAAAATTTTAAGTGTATTTTTTTCTGGGGCTCAAATTCAGAACCTCACACTTTCTGAGCTGATTCTCCCCCCTTTCCCCCTCCCCCCCCCCCCCCCCCCCCCCCCGTATAGTTTCTAAGATACATCTTGATCACTGGCAGATGGTTTATCGCTTTTTACCTAGGTGGCTGTAGTGAAAGATGCGTCCCTCTTAAGGTTACCAGAAAGGAGTTAGGTCCCAATATGACCAATTAGGAGCCAATATCCTTAAGCAAGTCACTCTTTAGTTTCTTCCATCTCTTCATAGGCCAACACCTATATGGGTGCTGGGTTAGGTACCTTTTGTTATGTCATTGCCAGGCTTTGTTACATTTTGCCTATGTAATTATGAGCATGTCTTTTTAAAAACTGGTCATGGGGCTTGAACTGGGCGCTGTCCCTAAGCTCTTCAGTTTAAGGGGAATGCTCTACCTCTTGAGCCACATTGCCATTTCCTGTTTTCTAGTGGTTAATTGGAGGTTAGAGTCTCACAGACTCCTGCCTGGGCTGGCTTTGAACCAGGATTCTGAATAGGTAGGAATACAGGCATGAGTCACCAGTGCTTGGCATGAGCATGTCTTACAATTGCCTTTTCATCTTTTCTCACTAAAAGTAATCTGCCCATAGTAGTCATCTAGTCAGGCATTTTGCCACTTGAACCACTCACGCACCTCTAGTCTTTTTTGCACTTTTTTGGTCGGTCATGGGGTTTGAACTCTGGGCCTGGGTGATGTTCCTCAGCTCTTCAGCTCAAGGTAGCAGTCTATGCCCTTGAGCCATAGCACCACTTCTGGTTTTCTGGTAGTTTATTGGAGATAAGAGTCTCACAGACTTTCTTGCCTGGGCTGGCTTTGAACCTCAATCCTCAAATCTCAGCCTCCTGACTAGCTAGGATTACAGGTGTGAGCCACCAGCACCCAGCATTCTTTCTTTCTTGATGCTCTTCCTGTGTCTTACTCTCTGAGAAGGTAACCTTGAGCTTCTGGGTTTTGTAGATGTCTATACTTGAGATCAGACAATGTAGCGGAAGGCAACTGTGCTGAAGAACTACTACAAAACTCCCAACGTGTCGTGGAGGAGTATTTTGTGGCCCCCCCAGGTATGTGTTGTCCAGAGTGGCTTAACAGAATACTCAGAATAGTCTCACAGACTTAAGAAACGAGGTGGAAATTGTAAGGTCAAAACTACATATAAATGGCAGCATTAAGATGATAGCAGAAGCCAAGCGCTGGTGATCACACCTGTAATCCTAGCTACTCAGGAGGCTGAGATCTGAGGATTGCCCTTCAAAGCCAGCCCTGGCAGGAAAGTATGTGAAATTCTTTGTTTTGTTTTTCTGTCAGTCACGGAGCCTGAACTCTGGGCCTGGGTGCTGTCCCTCAGCTCTTCAGCTCAAGGCTAGCACTCTACCACTTGCGACACAGCACAACTTCCAGCTTTTTTCTGCATATGTGGTGCTGAGGAATCAAACCCAGGGCCTCATGCATGCAAGGCAAGCACTCTACCACTGAGCCAAGTTCCCAGCCAGTCTGTGAGATTCTTTTTTTTTTGCCGGTCCTGGGGCCTGAACTCTGGGCCTGGGCACTGTCCCTCAGCTCTTCAGCTCAAGGCTAGTGCTCTACCACTTAAGCCACAGCGCCACTTCCAGCTTTTTCTGCTTATGTGGAGCTGAGGAACCGAACCCAGGGCCTCATGCATACAAGGCAAGCGCTCTACCACTGAGCCACCTTCCCAGCCCCAGTCTGTGAGATTCTTATCTCCAAAAACCAGAAATGGAGGAGGAGGCAACAATGCTTGATAAGAAATGTACTCATTACCTTGCCCATGTAATTGTAACCCCTCTGTACGGTATTTTCACAATTAAAAAAAAAGAAAACCAGAAATGGTGCTTTGGCTCAAGTGGTAGAGTACTAGCCTTGAGCTGAAGAGCCTAGGGACAGTGCCCAGGCCCAGAGTTCAAGCCTCACTACCAACTAAACAAAAAACAGGACTGGGAATGTGGCTTAGTGGTAGAGTGCTTGCCTAGCATGCATGAAGCCCTGGGTTGGATTCCTCAGTAGCATATAAACAGAAAAAGCTGGAAGTGGTGCTGTGGCTCAAGTAGTAGAGTGTTAGCCTTGAGCACAGAGAGATTCAGGGACAGTGCCCAGGCCCTGAGGTCAAGCCCCAGGACTGGCAAAAAAAAAAAAAAAATGATAGCAGATAGCTGGAAGTATGGTTCAATTGTTAGAGCACTTGCTTAGCAAGTGCAAAGCCCTGAGCTCATACTGAGCACTATAAGAAAGAAAATAAAAGGTGACAGCAGGGCTCAGGTGCTACACTTCTTAAGGCAAATTTGGAGCTCTGAAGGAGTTGACATTCACTGTTCTTTCAGTGCCAGTCAAGAACATGAGCTTATTTTATTAATAGAGAATTTAAAAATCTGTAATTTTGCAAGGTATTTCTCAAATTTAAGGGTTGCCACTTTTTTTTTTTTAAGATTTTAATTAATTTATTTATTTTTGTCAGTCATCATGGGCCTGAACTCTGGGCCTGGGCGCTGTCCCTCAGCTCTTCAGCTCAAGGCTAGAGCTCTGCCACTTGAGCCACAACACCACTTTTGGCTTTTTCTGCTTGTATGGTGCTGAGGAATCGAACCAGGGCCTCACGATGCAAGGCAAGCACTCTACCGCTAAGCCACCTTCCCAGCCCCTGTTGCCACTTTTTAATGTACTTTTAACAAATTACATATTACACAGGTCAAATAAAAAATACTTGGCAAAATAGTCTAGCCATGGTTTGCAATCTCTGATGGGGGCCTGCATCTCCAATGTTAATTTAAAAAGCAGGATATATACTCAGGAGGCTGAGATTTGAGGGTCATCATCAAAGCCAGCCCTGACAGGAAAATCCGTGAAACTCATCTCCAATTAACCACCAGAAAATGGGAAGTGGTGCTGTGGCTCAAGGTGGTAGACCAATACCCTTGAGCAAAAAAGCTCAGGGACAGGGCCCAGGCTCTGAGTTCAAGCTCCAGGTTGGGCAAAAAGAAAAGATAGCAAGCTCTCATTTAAGAAAGGATGGGAAAATAGCCAGCAAACTTGTGAGCTAAACTTTTAAAAGCCACATGCCTCTGATTTATTGAGGCAAAGTAGAAAGAAGACTGTGATCTTGCCATCTCAGAAGGAGATGTTGCTATTTCCCAAACAGAACCAAATGTCACAGGCTTTGCTTCACGCTTTGCTTCTTGGGACAAACTGAGTTCCAATCTTCCATTTCTAGTTGCATACTAATGGCTAATTCACTTGTACCTACCATTTATTGAAAAGAGTACATTAATTTGGCTTCACCTAACAGCTGCGATTCTAAGTGCCATCATATTTCTATTTTGGGTTTTTTTTTTTTTTTTTTGGTGGGGGGGTCAGCCATGGGGCTTGAACTTGGCTGGGCACTGTCCCTCGGCTCTTCAGCTCAAGGCTAGCTGCTCTTCCATTTGAGCCACAGCGCCACTTCCAGCTTTTTCTATTTATGTGGTGCTGAGGAATCAAACCCAGGGTCTCATGCATGCGAGGCAAGCACTCTACCACTGAGCTTTCCCAGTCCCTCTATTGTTTCTCATGAAAATGAAGCCATCACTTAACTTAGCAGAGTGAGTTGGAACCGCAGCCTCAACTCTTAACATTCTTCCTTATTGTTTCCAAACAGGTAATATCTCTTTGCCAAAGCTGGGTGAACAAGAGCCCTTCTCTCATGGCTGATAGCTAGCTATTCTGGGAAGGGGGTACGCTGTGAATACATGGAAGCACAATGGTGGCACTGTTATTGTGAACCTTAATGTTCTATCACCTGAAAAAGTGGATGTTTAAGCAACTCTTAGTAACTGACTCTTCTCAGGAAGATTTGAACAATATCCAAGTAAACAAGGCAATGAGTTCCTGATGCTAATAGAAAAGGGAATACCAACTTCCAAGGAAATGGATCAAGTATTTACAGACTTACTCAGTATGGAAGTTACCCTCTTTCATCTTCCTGTAAAAGAATTATGTCTAACAAACTGTGTATACTGGAACTTTTTTATATACCTGGTTATCAGAGTATCTGATCACCAAGTGATAATCTGAGTTGTCATTTTTGTTTTCTTTGTATTATCTTTACCAGACACACTGAATTTTTTCCTGGATACCTACTTATTCTGAGCAGAGGACTTTCTAGAAAGTCCTGGAGCGTGCTGAGTAAGCTGTCTTAAGAATTCCTAAGCTAAGCCAGGAGCCAGTGACTTACACCTGTAATCCTTGCTACTCATGAAGCTGAGATCTGAGGATTCCAGTTCAAAGCCAGCCCCGGGCAAGAAAGTCCTTGAGACTCTTATTTCCAGTTAACCACCAGAAAACCAAGTGGCACTGTGGCTCAAGTGGTAGAGTCCTTGCCTTGAGCTGAAGAGCTCAGGAACAGTGCCCAGGCCCAAAGTCCCACAACCAACAAAAGAAAAAAATTCCTAAGTTTGGGGCTGGGCAGGTGGCTCAGTGGTAGAGTGCTTGCCTTGCATGCATGAGGCCCTGTGTTCAATTCCTCAGCACCACATAAGCAAAAAAGCTGGAAGTGGCGCTGTGGCTCAAGTGGTATAGAGTGCTAGCCTTGAGCTGAAGAGCTAAAGGACAGTGCCCAGGCCCAGAGTTCAGGCCCCAACACCAGGAAAAAAAAAAATTTCCTAACCTAAAGTAGTTCCTGGGCCTGGGGGCTGGGAAGGTAGCTCAGTGGTAGAGTGCTTGCCTTGGATACATGAGGCCCTGGATTCGATTCCTCCGCACCACATAAGCAAAAAGAAAAAAGCCGGAAGTGGCGCTATGGCTCAAGTGGTAGAGCACTAGCCTTGAGTTGAAGAGCTAAGGAACAGCGCCCAGGCTCAGAGTTTAGGCCCCACAACCAGACCCCCCCCCACCCAAAAAAAAAAAAAAAAGTAGTAGTCCTGGGCCTGTTTTCATTCTTTCTATTCCTCCTTTATCTGTAGTACTTTTTAGTTTAATCTACAAGGTCACCTTATAATTCTGAGCTTGCCCAGTTGAAGTATTCAAGCCACCAGCAAAACAAACATCATTACTGCAAGTAAAGTTATCTATCCCACCTTTCCTACAAACTGGGTAGCAGTTATTACAACTCAGTGATTGCATTTTTTTAGCCTCTGCTGCTACTATACTGTGTGTACAATCAAGGACAACCACACTTATCAATTACTAAACATTTAAAATATATTTCTAAACAGAATGGGCCAACTCAGTCACAGTAACTGCTGATATTCAGAGCAAAACAGCCCACAAAGACACAGCACTGATTTCTTTTCCCATAATTGGGTAAAAAATATACAACTTGTTTCTGAACCACAACCACTTGTGCAGTTTAAAACGTTTTGCTGCTAACATGGCCCTGGTAGAAATTATGTCATTTTTCTTTTTTTTTTTTTTCCTTAAAAAAGTTTCTTAAAAATTTCCTAGACACTAAATTATCAATCTGGAATGTAGATCCTGAGGACAAAGCAGCTCAGGTCATCTAAAAAAAAAAAGAAATTTCCCATCACTTGTCTCAATAGGGTCTGAAAGGAGAAAAGTAGTGTGGGGAGCCCCTGCTTTGGTATGGAGAGTCACGGCCCCTTGACCCAGACCGAGAACGTGAGTAGCCATAGCTTGTGCTTCTCTCAGGATAAACTCTGATGTAGGAGGTTTCACCCTGAAATTCAAAGACAAAGAAAAAAGTAAGTACCAGAATAACAAGCAAATCCTTTACCTAACCTGGCTGCCTAACAATAGTTGTTTTTGTTTGTCCTGGGGCTTGAACTCAGGGCTTGGACACTGTCCCTGAGCTTCTTTTGCTCAAGACTAGCACTCTACCACCTGTACTACAGCACCACTTCTGGCTTTTTCTCTTATGTGGTATACTGAGGAATCAAATCCAAGTCTTCATGCATGCTAGGCAAGTAGTCTACGACTAAGCCACATTCCCAACCACAATAGTTAAGTTTTGAGCACTTAATCTACATGACACTGTTCCTTCATCACATTAAAGAAGGAGGTATTCTTATCACATATCCAAAAAGAAGAAAATTGGCCCAAGTGATGGTGCCTCACACTTATCATCTTAGCTACTCAGGAGGCTAAGATCTGAGAATCAAGGCAGCCAGGACAGAAAAATCCAGGAGACTTGTTATTTCCAATTAACTGGCAAAAAGATGGAAGTAGAGCTCTGGCTCAAGAAGGTGAATAACAACAACAACAAAAAGCAAACAAAAAAAGGGCCAAACAAGTAAGGCACTGGGTTCAATCCCTACCACCAACCACCCCCCCCCCCCAAAAAAAAAAAAAACCCACAAAGTACTGACCCTACCTCATGAGAGCGGAATTTGGTGTCATCCAGTTTGCGCAAGGCATATTCCATGTCTTCTTTTCTGAGATATTCAACCATCCCCATTCCGTCCTTCTGAACATCTGCATAGCAGACATCCCCAGCTTCTCTCATGTGATCTTTCAGGTCCTGCCAGCTGCCTGATGGAGGAAGTCCTAGGCATAGAGAACATAAGAGCCTAATTTCTTTAGCCATGTTAGCTGTCCTGTTAAGATTCAGTAATACCTATGGTCTTTCCCCTATAAATAATTTAATCCCCATGAGTCTCCAAATCACAACTCTACATGGGACAGAAAATGAAGAGAAAAACACTAAAGTACATGGTGAAGCTGGTCTTTAACTTTTAAGAGACCAAAGTCTCAACAGAGCATCCCATTGCAGGTTTTAGTACCTTTAGGAATTCACAGCATTTCTTTGTTCTTCAATTTTTTCCCATTATGAAATTTATCAGTGCCAATTATTTCTTGCCTGACCAAGTTTCCCAGGACATAGGAATTCTCAAACAAGTGAAATAAAGTTTAGCTGAAGGTAGCAAATCAACAACAAATACCTACAGTTTGTTTTCCTACAGAAATGAATACTGACAAACCAAAGTACCTCTTAAAGAGATCACCAACATTCTTCACTATAGTTGGGGGTGGGTGGGGGGAGTAATAACTCAGATGCTAAAACTAGTTGGGAGTCATACAACCCTACCTGATGTCATGAAAGGGAAATGTGCTCCTGCTCTCAAAGGCTGTGTTTACCGCTCACAGCTCAGGACTGCAGCCATTTCCTAATAGTTTTCTAAGCAGGATTTCAGAGCAGCATGGAGAGAAAAAAAGATAATGTATGACATCTTGAAGGAGGGAATAGAGCTCTAGGGTTAAAAACTTCACAAAGGGGCACAAGAGAGGCAGATATTGAGTATCACTCTTAAGAACATGGGATTCTGCTGTGGTTCAGACATTCACAATCCTAAAAAAGTGCAAAGCTCAAACATTTCTACCAGTGTCCAGTACTCCCCTGCAACATGCAGAAGGCCCTAGGTATTTTTACCACTTTAGAAATGTTTCAAAGATATATAAACAGCTGAGTTTAGCATTTTATCATTTATAAATACTAGACAGATATGCACTATTAATTTCCATTACAGTCTCCAAGATTACAAGTTGTGGGGTTTCCATTAGCTAAGTTGTTGTTTTGTTTTTTTTTTAATATACATTCAAAAATCTGGCCTTTTTAAGCAAGTTGTTAGAATCTGGCTCCTGTAATATCTTTTTTTTTTTTTTTTTGGTCCATGGGGCCTGAACTCAGGCCTGGGCACTGTCCCTGAGCTCTTCAGCTCAAGGCTAGTGCTCTACCCGCCACTTCTGGCTTTTTTTGCTTATGTGGTGCTGAGGAATTGAACCCAGGGCCTCATACATGCAAGGCAAGCACTCTACCACTGAGCCACCTTCCCAGCCCCCTGTAGTATCTTTTAATTAAACAGAAATCAAGGTACATTCCAAAAGAAAATAGAATTGTAGCTCTAAGCGTTTTGCCATCATCTTTCATTCTCCACAATAAGGAACCCCTTTCCAAGCAAGTTTATGTTCTACCAAGGCTGAACTGTAGTGCAGTTTAAATTACAGGGTACCTACCTCACTGACAAGCCAATGCAGGGCTTTAGACTATCACTGTACATGCATAGGCTATTGAAAAGCCCATGTGTCTCGTGCACAGAATTAACAGTTGACATTACTCATCTGTAGACTGTGCTAAGCAGTTTACATGCATGATCTCAGTGACAAAGGAACATACCTGAAACAAGAACTCGGAAGTCAGATCTTCTTGTAGGAGGCCCACTCCTTGCGCCTCGGGTCCACCCACCCCGGCCTCCATAAGTCCTGGGAAACTCCACACGAAGCCGGCACTGGCCATAATCATATCCATTCCTTCCATAAATTGCATCCTCAGCATCTCTGCAAAGAAAAATTTGGAGTCAGAGGTGCCCAGGAGTCTGAATGACTTTCTAATGAAAGGGACAAATGATTAAGAGGGGAAACTGACAAGGAAAAATAGAACAAAGTAGGATATGTATATACTTTCGCTTTAAAGATCTTTAATGGCACTGAATTAATCTTCACAACTGTCAGACATAAAACTCTATAAAACTGTAATAGGGTAGTCAGATTACAAATAAAAGGATTGATTTAGAAAAACAAAAAAATCCTGTTGAGAGATTTTGCCACTAAGTTTCTCGAAACTTGGTGAGTAGTTTCTCAAAATGTATATACATTAGGCTTCAATAATAAAGGCCTCATAAAACCTATGAAAAGACCCATTTTAAATAGGTTCAGGGGGCTGGGAAGGTGGGTCAGTGGTAGCGCGCTTGCCTTGCATGCCTGAGGCCCTGGGTTTGATTCCTCAGCACCACATAAGCAAAGAGAAAAAAGCCGGAAGTGGTGCTGTGGCTCAAGTGGTAGAGCGCTAGCCTTGAGCTGAAGAGCTGAGGGACAGTGCCCAGGCCCAGAGTTCAGGCCCCATGACCGGACCCAAAAAAAAAAAAAATAGGTTCAGGGGGACTGGGAAGGTGGCTCAGTGGCAGAGTGCTTGCCTTGCATGCATGAGGCCCTGGGTTCAATTCCTCAGCACCACATAAGCAGAAAAACCCAGAAGTGGCACTGTGGCCCAAGTGGTAAAGAGCTATTCTTGAGCTGAAGAGCTGAGGGACAGCGCCCAGGCCCAGAATTCAGGCCCCA